TGTCAGCATGTTGGCATAAGCATACTTGCACTAGGTGGTCTGATAACAATTGGAACCAGATACGGTAGCTGCCTTGTAAAACAACTCTCTGTCCTTTTCCTGCTTTGAAGTTAAATCATGCTGTAAAGCAATTACACATCTTAAGGGGTTTCTGTTGTTTCTGAAACCAAAGACTACACAAAACCAGTGCAGGAAGTACCAAGTGTACTAAGAAACCATTATCTCAGTTTAAACCTTTGTCGATAGACTAAAACTTATGTATACACATCCAATCCAGTTGTTTGGTATCCTAACCTTGCTTTGAAGTTCTTATTGCTCCATAATAGAGAACAGAGTATCTTTGCCCTTCTGTCAATTCTTGAATTATATTTTTCTGTTCTTTCATTCTCATCTTGATCATACTATATTATTGTTTAAATGTGTTATGATTATGATTGCCTTTGGTTATGATTGTGATTGCGATTGTGATGTTTTTATTGCCATTCAATGATATTTTATGATTTTTGTAAGCCGCCCCGAGTAGACGCTGTCTAAGGGGGAGGGGTATAAATCGAATGAATGAATGAATGAATGAATGAATAAATAAATAAATAAATAAATAAATTCAGATGTAGACAAATGATCTATCCCATCATCCCTGACCATTAGTCAGACCAGGTAGGGCTGACAAGAATTGGAATCCACCAGCACCTACGACCACTGCTCTAAACCCAAAGCTAAAATGAGATGGACAGATCTGAAGTAGCAGAAGCCTCTGTAGCTAAAATAATGTGTACGTTCTACTACATCATAAAAAAAGTGAGGCTGTTTTTCAGTAATTTTTAGATGTCATGTAGTTAATGGTCTAATTACTGGGGGAAAGTCAAGCACTAGAAATTTTGATTAGATACTTTTTTTCCTACATGGAACAAGAGGGAAGCCGTAAAAATATTCATAGCTAGAGCCAGCCCTGCAGAAACACTGAAAGAATTTGGTTGGAAGGATCAGACGTCAGACCCAATATCAACAGAGGGTACTTTTGGACGTCCCATGGGACGTGGTGGCGATGCGGGTTAAACTGCAAAGCCTCTGGCCCCCAAGGTCGAAAGATCAGCAGTTCGAATCCACATGGCGGAGTGAGCTCCCATTGCTTGTCCCAGCTCCTGCCAACCTAGCAGTTCAAAAGCATGTAAAAATGCGAGTAGATAAACAGGTAGCAGTAAGTACAAGCACTAGAAATTTTACTTAGATACTTTTTTTCCTACATGGAACAAGAGGGAAGCCGTAAAAATATTCATAGCTAGAGCCAGCCCTGCAGAAACATTGAAAGATCAGCAGTTCGAATCCACATGGCGGAGTGATTTGGACAAATGTCCTGTACTTCCCGACCTTCTTTTTAACCATTTTGCACCAGAAAGCTTGCTTTCACTGCTGCTGCTTCAATATCCCACAATGCCTTTCACATAAATGCAGTCCAAGGCATTGTGGGATAGTGGTGTCACCTTCCAGCACTGCAGTTGATTATCAGTGAAGCATGCTGCAACCCGTTGACCCAGGCTCCACTGAAATAAGTGGGAGACCTACTTTTGGACAAATGCCATGTACAGCACTTCCTGACCTTCTTTTTAACCAATTTGCACCAGAAAGCTTGCTTTCACAGGTGCTGTTTGAATATCCCACAATGCCCTTTGCATAAACGCGGTCCAAGGCATTGTGGGATAGTGGTGGCAGCTTCCAGCACTGCAGTTGATTATCAGTGAAGCATGCTGCAACCCGTTGACCCAGGCTCCACTGAAATAAGTGGGAGACCTGTTAGAGAACATGCAGCTTTTAAAGTCTATTTTTTACTTTTTTTATTCTGAAACCAAATAAGTAAAAGGCCTATTTTTAAAGTCACAGCAAGAATGTACGGCGGAACACACTGGCTCCATCCTCATGTCCTCTGCTAGCTTCTATTTTCCACGGTGGCAGAGGATGCTGGAAAGTTGTAGTATAACACATTTGGAAGCCCCAGAATTGTAGGAGGTTGTAATTTTGTAATTTTCCAAAACAAATAGCTCAATATAAAACAATACAAAATACTAACAATCTAAACCACAGTGCAGCCCCATACCCAAGGGACCCTTTGGAGTAATTTTTTTGTTACGAACCTCCTTTCCAAAATTGTATTGATTAGTGCTTAGAGGCTTTCCCCTTTCCTTTTACTAGCAAGCACTACAAACCTAGCTGGTAAATATGAGCCTGTCTGTCCTTTGAGCAAATCAAGGAGATTAATTGGAATAAGGAAAGTGGGTGGCTCATTCAGTCTCCTAGCTTTGTCTCTTGCATCCCAAGGCAGATTATAATTGTACGTTGCAGCAAGTTAATGTTTTCCCAATATGTCATTGCTTGACCTGGATGACATAAGCTTTTTATATCAGCACTTCTCCAACATAAGTTCTGCCACTTGTGCAAAGGTTAAGGCCATTTGCTAGAGCCCAAGATTGCTTGAAGGTTTTGAATTCTGACTTGGGGGGTTCTCTGGCCAGCTCTAGAAGTGTGTGGAGGAGTTAGTGGTGTCACATGCACTTTGCACATGGTCAGAGGGCCCTTCTCTTTCCAACATTTCAAGAGAGCACACTTTGTACACCACTACCCAGGAGGAAGGAGAGTCACAGAGTCATTCATTTAAGAACCACCTTACCTTGGGAAAAAGTTCTTTTCATTTTGGACTATAACTCCCAGAATCCCCCCTGCCAGCATGACCATTGCTAGCAGAAGGGTTCTGGGAATTGTATTCCAATATAAGGACACTTTTTCCAGCTCTGCTCTGTGGGAATGTTGACAAGTGCATGCTTACATACACAATGGTTACAACATGAGCAGTTTATGTGGAAAAGCCAAGACCAAGACACATCAGAAGCTGAGTGTAGTTTGTCCCACCTCAACCACTGGGTGTGGATGTTAAGCAATTTACAGGCACGTGTGAATCTGTGGGGTGTCTGCATCCACACAAATAGGATATGTACCTCTATCTACATGGGCAACGTAGCTGTCTTGCCAGTGGGATGAGCATTTTAGAGAGGTCCCCTCCCCTTCCTGTGCTGAAATATATACAGTATTTGCAGGGTATCTGCATTTCTTGGCACTGGAGCCCTGTCCTGCAGCTGAGAGGCAATCTTTACACAGGTAAGGCAGGCAGGTAATGAGGAGCGGTAGGTTTGTACGTAAGACTTAAAACAAAGCCTTGATGCTCTATCTCAAACAAAGCCTCGATGCAAATGAACCAAAACCTGGAAATATGTTCTGGTAGCGGCTCCTCCCACACTGTAAATCTGGCCTCCTGTTTTGATGACCCAAACCTGTTTGGAGGTAGCCAGGTGTGAAAGAGGAAATGAAGCAGAGATGTGAGAAAGGAGGGGCAGGGGGGAGGAAGGAAGGGAGGAAGGAGAAATCAAAAGGAGGGAAGGAAGGTGGGTAGGAGAATGATCTGTGGGCTCTAGAGTGGCAAAAGACAATAAAAATCTACATTCTCTCCCCCCACATAAAACCTGCTACCTCAAGCTTGATTTAAAATTTCTGGGAACTTTTAAGCAAAATAATTTGGTCAAGATCATATAAGAGACTTTTCTGTCTCTTTCCATACACAAGTTCAGTAAAGCCCAGCCCAGTGAAGAGTCCTGCAGCCTGTTTAGTGGTTTAATAAAATATTTCATCCAGCCTTGTTTTTGGAGGGTGGAGAGAGATTTGGTGGAGAGATCAGGCCTTAGTGAAATCATGTTCTGACTCAACTAGTGATAGACTGTTAGTCTGGCTGAGATGGTTTCCTTCTTTCACACCTCTCCGATGAAGGTGAAAGAAGAACCTGGATGTTCTGGTTCCTATGTGCTACTAACAGCCTGTTGCTTCAGCAACACAAAGGCTTAAAAGCAAAGTTTGGAAAAGTTATCTCCAAGTACAGTGAAAGTCATCCGTAAATAAGATTTTTTGGAGTTATAGGAATCATAATCTCTCTCCATCACCACTGTCTTTCACTCCATTGTGAAGGACAGAGACGCAGAAGAGATATAATTGAAAATGGCTTCAGTTGGATTTTAATAAAAAATTATCAACATTTGCTATTTAGGGGGTGGGGGATGAAACATGAGTTTGAAAATAAGACTGTGGGAGAAACCAAAACCAACCAATTGGTTAATCCACTTCTAGGGTTTTCATAGAATCCCTAGACCAGAGTTGGAAGGGGTCAATAAGGCCATCAAGTCCAACCCACTGCTCAGCGCAGGAACCGAAATCAAAATACAGTATATCTGACAAATCATTGTCTAATTTTCTCTAACTCAAGAAGTGAAGTCCTCACTGCCTCCCTGTGTGCTTATTATCCCATAAAACACTAGGTTTAAATAAATCTCTGTGTATTCATCCAACCATGCCAGTACTCAATGAGGGTTGCTGTTTCCCCCTTCTCTGCAAGATAGTCTTTAACATCTGTTTGGTAAGCAGGTATAACATGATCCTCTCCTTGCCGCGAACAACTGCATCTACAGTATTACATTTTGCAAACGGGGGAGAGCTTCCTTTCAGACCATTTCCAAAAAAAAAAATGAACCAAAACCTGGAAATATCTTTCTATTCAGAAGGGAAATAACTTGAAATTCACCACTTCAGAATGCAGGAGAACACAAACGTGGCAAATTTCTTCACACCTAAGCGGTGACAAAATATGCCACTTTCCTGCAAAACCCCAGAAAGAGTACATTTCCTAACTCGCCCCCATGTTGCCTTGCAGGAACCCAGGAGTTCTGTGTCCAGTTGGCTATTGATCTTACAGTCTTACTGGGAAACTGGGGAATTCTATTTCCTTCCTTTCTTTCTTTCTTCCCACCCGCCCCCATCTGTTTTCCCCTCAAGGGAACCAGGAATGGTTGCCTATGAATTTGCCCAGAAGTGGGTGGAGAAAGAGAAGTGAGACAGGAAAGGGGGGGGGGAGAGAGACAGCACAAGCTGTTATATAGGACCAAGGCTGCAGCAGTAGCTCATAATACATCCAGACTTAAGAGATGCTCCTGTTGTTTCTTTTCTTGGCTTCTCTCCACCTCTGGAATATTGGCCAGACCAATGCACGATCATCTAGTACCCATGAGTTCAACAAGGGCTTGGTGAGTTCAGGACACCTGGGTCCTAACAAAGGCAGGATGGGAGGGAGTGGGATTCAAGGACTTAAAATAAAAAGGCTGTGGGTGGCAGGAGATGTGGATTTCACACAAACACACCCTGAAAAGAGCAGAGTCTGGTGTTAACAAAGGGTGATGGAGTGGGAGGGGGGCGAGAAGGACAGCTGGACTAGATCCATTGGGGTTCAAGGCATTAAAGCTTGTGAATTAATATGATGGGATTAATATGAGAATCGGGACCCTCTGGAAAATAATTAAGAGTCTAAGAGGCTGGAATTAAGATATACTGTGAAAATATTTGTGTGTAAGCTTGGAAGTATAATGTCTACTTGGTGGTTAAAAAAAAGGGCCAGCATGACTTCTGAACACTCAGGGAATGAGGTGGTAGTAGCAGAGAGATAAAACAAACCATTTTCCTTGGGGGGGTTTCATGTTACAAACTGCCTGTAGTCAGGAAATCACCGACCCTTTTAACACCAGTTTCCTTCCTTCCCCTCCTCCTCAATTCCTGTCAATATCCTTGGAAAAGAATATATTTTATAATGTTTCTAATTATCTTCTGGAGGAGAGGTGAGAGCTTCACCGCACTTTTTCATTAATTGTCATTTGATTATTTTAATCATCATTTGTAGTATCTTTTCACTCTGCTGCCACACCAAGTCTTATGAGAAATCCACTTTAAAAAAAAATCTGCAAGGGCTTTCTGAACCTGCAAAGGGAGTTTAAAGATTAGCTAGCCTTTGATGTCATTTTTTAATACTCTGGCATACTTAATTTTTCTTCTCCCAATAAGTCTTGCCATTGTGATCCTAGAGCTGTTTCTTGCTTTCGCATCTCAAAGTTCACCGCAAGCTCATGTTCCTTCATTGATTAATCCATGGGGGGTGGGGAGGTGGGAAAGCCCACAGGGATTACCTGTGGCTGAAACTGATCATCTGTGTGACTCAAAAAGCCTCTTTAAACCCCTTCTGCTCCAACATTGGGTGGTTTTCTTCCTTAGAATACATTTACATTTCTGAATCATAAAACCCTCCAGATCCATGGATCTGATTTAAAATAAGGCTTGAACTCTAATAGTTTCCAGGCACCACTTGGGTTGCAAAATCTATGCAACAGCAAGCAAAGAGCTATTAGGACAGCAAAGCTGGTCTACTGAGGAGGTAGGTGAGGGTGAAGTTGTTTACTTGCTACCAGAAGCCTTTCTTAAACCTAGACCACATATTTTTTTCTGGTGGGGCTCCTGTGCCTTGAGTAAAGTTATACCCAGGAGCACTTCTCTGCAGAGAAAGCCTTTACAACACAGACTTATTTTGGGACAGTTCCCTGTTATGTTACATTACTGTGGTATTTGTTTGATCCTTTTTAGTATTTACATACTTGTTGTTGTTTTGCTTTAAATATTGTCTTTTGAATGATGTTAATCTGCCTTGGGTCCTTCTTGAGGAGAAGGGTGGGGTAGAATGGTTTTAAATAAATAAATAAAGAAAGAAAGAAAGAAAGAAAGAGAGAAAGAAAGAAAGAAAGAAAGTTATGTTACATTACATTATTTGGCTGTTGAAGTGATAAGAGCCTTGTAAAAATAAGTAATGGGCACTAGACAGCATTTAGCCTTCTTCAACATGGCCTTCTCCAGGTGTTAGACTACAACTCCCAACATCCCCCATTGCAGAGCACCATGTTGGGGAAGGCTCAATCGTTGCTTTGGAGGAGTAGAATATGTCCTGCTTTGTGCTGCTGTTGTCACATTCTGCTCAGAAGATCAATCCCCCATCTCTGTGCTAAGGACTTTGCCCCATCATCCTTTGTTCCAGATTTTCCCAATATGGCACCTCTGGATAAGTACAGATCTAAAGTTTCCATAACCACCAGCAGTATGGGAGTTGATTGAGGGTGTTAGAAACATCTGCGGGGGACTGCACTGGCCGAGGTGCTGTTTTTGAGTGACTATAGGTTAGTGTGTTGGCTTTGGAAATGAAAAAGGCATCTCTGTTCATGATAGTGAACCATAAAATGCTACCACAAACCAGGGGAGAAATGGGGTTCACTGGCATAAGAATTGTACACCTACCCATTAGTGTCCTTTTAGAAACAGGTGGGCATTTTCTGTGCAAGTAACAGCATTTGGGTTTCCTGTATCTATTTTAAAAAACATCAACCACATCCCTGAACAAGAGAGCAAGAAATGAGTCCTCTATGAAAATACAGCTGGTATCACACCAATGGGCATTGGAGCTCATACACCGGGTCTGCTCGCCCTCAGCGGCCGCTAGAATGGAGCTAGATTTTTCCTGCAGATTCCTGGGGCACGTAACTTGTCTTGCTTGTCCGAGTAACCTTTAGTTGTTCTCTGTGCAGGTATCTTACCTATCACACTTGCTCTAATTATTATATATGGGTTGCATGGTCTACATTAGGACCAAACTTATCAGATTGGATATGTTTTACTGTCTTACTTTTCCATAATTCGTTTTCTTACTTTGTGGAACTAACTGGCTGCTGGAACAAAGGACTTTTAAAAAGAGATGGGTCTCTCCCCCCCCAACCATGCCTCTTTCGCCTAGCCTCAAAATCTCTCTGCGGGCAATATGTTCAGGGCTCTGTGGCAACAATTTACAAATTCTGTTGCCCACCCATGCTTTAAAAGGGCGTTAGACAATTTTATCAAGGATACCTCTATCACCAAGTGTGACAGTGTGATGATACAGTGGCCTGAGTGTCAGATTAGTGCTCAGGAGGATGGGGTCCAAATCCTTACTTGGCTACGGAAACTCACTGAGGGTGTGTGTGTTTGTGTGGCAATAGTAAGGCACTCCTTGAACAATTCACATACAGTACCTGGAAAGTCAGAAGCCACTTAATGGCACATAACAGCACATTTGTCAGTAGGACCTCTCAACAGGGGGAGATGGGACTTCCAGATGGATAGATAGTATATCTGAATTCCTGAGGAGTGACAGGATAAGATGGAAGGGTTTGTGCCATCCCTGAACTTCAGAGGGGTAAGCTTTAGCAGTCAGGATGATGTTCTCAACTTAAGCAGCAGGGACCCTTCTTCTGTCCTGCTTCAGTTTTCACTCCATGAAACTGGAATAGAAGCAACTCACAGGTTTTCAAGGTTATTTTGAGGACAGGTGCAATGAATATTGCAGAGGGCTCTACACATCTTCAGAAGTGCTTTTTTATTAATGATTAATAACACACTTTGTAGCAGGTTGTACGGTGATGCAGGAAACAGCCGGGAGCTCCCGCCTTCCATTTGCCTACACCCCACATCTCAGCCTCTGCTCTTTGCACCCGATATCCTGCACTCACCTTACCATTCTGGGGCTGTGGGTGGGATGGCACTCTTCTCCACACCCAGTATATTTTTAGATCTTCCAGTTCTCCGTTTGGTTTATCTCTACTAGCTTCTCGTGGCTACCTCTCTGTATGTGCTCTCTCCCTCTGCTTAGGACTTTCCATTAGCAGCTTGACCTATCTACAAGAAAACTGCAATTCACCCGCCAGCTGGAAACAGCAGGAAGGGGTAGAAGATGTATCTATATATACATATATAGATAGATGCACAGAGCAAGAAAAACCCCTGACCCATCCTAGAAATGGATGTGAAGGGCGTTTGTAGGGAGGTCATGGGGGTTCAGAGAAACCAGGGGGCGGCTCTTGGATTCCGCGATGGCTTTTAGAGATGGGAACAAAGGCGCCTTTGAGTGGGATAGGGTTCTGTAGTGAATTGGGAATGTAAGACACTCACTCATACAAGTCCCCCAGCATTGCTGGGAGCTATCCTTTTAAAGCTGGCGCCTGCTCTCTCTGCAGTGGCCCCTGCTGCGGCTAAGAGTCTGGGTTAACATATGAAGCCCTCTGATCTTTTATCCAAATCAGCCCTTTGGCCCACATGGTATTGCTGTACCTGATCTGGCCGTCAGCAGCTGTCCGAGGTCTTGGGGAACCTCCTACAGATACAATTTAGCCAGAGATGCTGAATATCTAGCTGATCTTTCCTACATGCAACACATGTGCTTTGCCGTTGAGTAGCAACCTTTTAGGAAAAGGCAGGGGGAAATTAAAACAGGACATTTGATGAGCAAGCAGCACCTTCTCCATCTCCAAGCTGCTGTGATGGAAAGAGAAAGGAAGGGAAGGGGTAACACCTAAGAGATAAAGATCAGGGGGGTGCAGTGGTTAAAGCAAAAGTTAGAGCACTTGAGGGGTGGTGGTTGGACAGCTCCCTGAATCTCATAGCCAGGTTGGATGTAGGCATGATGGCTGATCCGTTTGGAGACTGTTTGTGGGCCCATGTAGTGTTTCCAAACCTGGGATTAGAGGGCTGGACTGTTATTCTGAAAGCTCCTCTTCATCTTCACATCAGAGCTATACTGGGAGACTTTGGGCCATTCAGTTTCTCTTAGCTTGGCCTCCATTACAGGGTTCTTGTGAGAGAATGGGGAGAAACAGAGCCATGTGTGCTGCCTTGAGCTCAATGGAGATGTAAATGAAATAAACAAGAAAAGGAACATGAGCCAAATGTTAATAGCTAGTTGGATAACTCCTCCTTGATTGTGTCATTTTAAAATTTTGTTGTTGTTTAGTCGTTAAGTCGTGTCCGACCCTTCGTGACACCATGGACCAGAGCACACCAGGCCCTCCTGTCTTCCACTGCCTCCCGGAGTTGAGTCAAATTCATGTTGGTAGTAGTATCGATTATACTGTCCAGCCATCTCGTCCTCGGTCGTCCCCTTCTCCTCTTGCCTTCACACTTTCCCAACAGCAGGGTCTTTTCCAGGGAGTCTTCTCTTCTCATGAGATGGCCAAAGTACTGGAACCTCAGCTTCAGGATCTGTCCTTCCAGTGAGCACTCAGGGTTGATTTCCTTCAAAATGGACTGGTTTGTTCTCTTTGCAGTCCAGGGGAATCTCAAGAGTCTCCTCCAGCACCACAATTCAAAAGCATAAATTCTTTGGCAGTCAGCCTTCTTTATGGTCCAGCTCTCACTTCCATACATCACTACTGGAAAAACCATAGCTTTGACTATGCGGACCTTTGTCGGCAAGGTGATGTCTCTGCTTTTTAAGATGCTGTCTAGGTTTGTCATCGCTTTCCTCCCAAGAAGCAGGCGTCTTTTAATTTCGTGGCTGCAGTGATCATGGAGCCCAAGAAAGTAAAATTTACATTTTAAACTACAGATGAATTATAATAAGATGGCACCCTCTGCATGGGTATTTGAAGGGGAAACATGCCTCTTTCAACAAACAAAGTTCTTATTTCAGAAGAAAATACCACATTCTTCCTCTCTTCCTTACATCTGGTTTCATATACAAAAGAAGTTTTGTTCCCTTGTAATTTCTCGTTCTAGGTACATGTACTGATATTATGGCTTTTCTGAATGGGGGGCTCGTGACAAGAGCAAAGAGGCACTTCATCGATATATATTTTTTAATTCGGTGTCCCCTGCTTGTGCCACATCCACCATGTATACACAAAATAAATTGGAGACACGCACGCAGAAAACACAAAAATCTATGTAACAGTTCTCATAGGGAACTGTAGTTCTGCAAACAATACCGAGAACAGTGGTTCCTTTTCCTGTTTCTAAGATTTTTTGCAGGAAGGTATGGTGATGAAATTGGTGTAAAAGAAAAACGAATGTAAATTATGTTCGTTTTCTTCAAAGAGAAATGAAAGTGACGTGCATCAGTAATAGAGAACAGTCTTTATCCAGCATATATCTGTAAGAGACACAGAGTTACAGGAAAAGTATATGCATCTTGTAATGAAGAGAAGCTGCTCTTATATATTGGTTTTTGTTTTTTTTAGAAGGTTCCTTCCTTTAAACACAAGTTTTCATTTCCTTTTCAGTTACTTCAGTGAAACTGAAGGAGAAGCTGGGAAGCCCCTAAAGAGTGTGTGGGTAGGGGAGAATCCTCATAATCATAAAAATTAATTAGAAGGCCAAACATGTAGTGAAAGAACTGAGAGGCAGACAGTGCCTCACTGATATTTTCCTCATTTTTAGGCCACACAACAGGACTGACTCTACCTATTTGGCATACTGTGACCAAGTGAGGTAACGGATACTAGAGAAGATGTGGGAGCTAAGTTTTGAATAATATCCCTCATGCATTAGAATGTGTAGTTCCCTCAACATCCATAGAGGGCATCATCTCACCAAGGGTGAGTTCGATTCCCCACTGTGCATCCTTGGCAGGGGCTAGACTTGATGATCTATAGGGTCCCTTCCAGCTTGGCAGTTTGATGATTGACGACAATCAACCTTTGACACTCCAGATGTTTTGGATTTCAGTTCCCAGGAGTCCCAGCTTGTACTGACTATGATGAAGAACTATGGGAGTTGTAGTCCAGGAACATCTGGAGGCCCAAGGTTGGGGATGACTGATCTATAGGGTCCCTTCAAGCTTGGCAGTTTGATGATTGACAACAATCAACCTTTGGCACTCCAGATATTTTAGATTTCAATTCCCAGGGGTCCCAGCTTGTACTATGATAAAGAACTATGGGAGTTGTAGTCCAAAACATCTAGTGTGCCAAGGGTTTGCCATGGCCAGATAACTTCTACCCCTGTCCGTTGCTGCTTTCTTCAAGCAACACTGATTCTGAAGAGATGTTCCTGCTTTGGTAGAGACACGTCACAGAAGGAAGAATTTCTAGGGTTCATGGTGGTGTGAAGTGTCTCCCTTCAAACAGAGATCTCTCCTCTTCAGACTCTGTCAGTCATATGATGAAGGAAGAGCAGGGCTAGGCACCCTCCTCTAAGCATGATGGGGGGGGGAAACCACCATATTCTAGTGCCTGAATAGGGTTTAGCTGGTTTCATTTTATACAATGGGGACAAGACATCATTTTCTTTGTCTCGTGTAGCAAAATGCTACCCTCTTACCAGGTTATTTTGATACATGAGGCAGGAAGTCCCATAAGCATCTTTTCTTGGCCATTAAAATACAACCACCCCCAATTATGTAAGTAATAATTTACTGCTCTTTTATGCCGGTCTGCTGCTTCATGTGCTCATTGAGTAATGACTCACCTGTAAAGGTGCCGCTTCTTTATCTGGTTGGGCCCTTGTGACTTCAACTGATGACGCTTTCCCCATTGCTGTATTTCCACAGCAGAAAGGAAACACAGGAGCCCTGGAAGAAAGGAGAGAGTAACCAGTGCTTGTCAGCTTGTTTATTGACCGATCAATCAATCCTAACTGTGTTTCCCACAGGAATGGTTGACTCGCTATGGCTATCTTCCTCAACCAGACCCTCGGGCGGCTCGTCTTCAAACCCGAGAAGAACTTGCCAGTGCGATCAAAACAATGCAAAGATTTGCAGGACTTCCTACCACTGGTGAGCTGGGTAAGTATGGCTGAATAGGAGGGGCAGAAGGATAGCAGGAGCCTGAGGGAAGTAATGCTTGGCTAACATTCTCTCTGGATGGCTCAGTGGTTTGGTATCTGGCTGCAGAGCCAGAGGTTGGGAGTTGGATTCCCCCACTGTGCCTCCTGTGAAATAGAGCCAGCCTGGGTGGCCTTGGGCCAGCTGCACAGTCCCAGGGCGCCCCCCAGTGGAAGGGAAGGGTAAACCACTTCTGAGTACTCTACCTCAGTGGTCTCCAACCTTGGGCCTCCAGATGTTCTTGGACTACAACTCCCAGAAGCCTTCACCACCACCTCTGCTGGCCAGGATTTCTGGGAGTTGAAGTCCAAGAACATCTGGAGGCCCCAAGGTTGAGGGCCACTGCTCTACCTGGAAGATCCTGAAAATGGTCACCATAAGTCAGAATTGACTTGACAGTACATGATGATGATGTCCAGGTTTTTTGTTGTTGGTGTTGTTGTTTTTTTGAGAAGTCTTTGGCATCAGTCATGAGCATTTCAGTTTTTTTTGAAACGGGGAGAGGGGAATGCTTCCAGGCTTCCCTGCAATCACTCAGCTTCATTCACGACATTTTCTGGGTGAAATGAATCTGCGCTATAAAATCATATGTGGTTGATACTACTTTAGCTGTCATGGCTCTATCCTAAGGAATCCTATGAGTTGCAGTGGCATTAAATATTTAGAATTCTCTGCAGTAGTTCATGGGAGTGTGGTAAAGCTCCCTGCCAGAAAATTTTGAGAACCACATCAAATCACATCCCAGTTAAAGGGATGCATAAACTGATGTAACTGCATAGTATTGATCCCTCTCAGGTATCATTGTCTTTTTCTACTCTGCCACTGGTTTCCCATTACTACTTCTACTATACAGTCATGCCCCGCTTAACGATTACCCTGCATTATGAGGAATCCACTTCACGACGATGTTTTTGCGATTGCAATTGCGATTGCAAAACGATGTTTTAAATGGGTCTTTTTCGCTTTGCGAAGATCGGTTCCCTGTTTCGGGAACTGATTCTTCGCATTACGATGATCAAAACAGCTGATCGTCGGGTTTTCAAAATGGCCGCCGGGTGCTCAAAATGGCTCCCCGCTGTGCTTAGGGACGGATTCCTCGCTATACAGGCACCGAAAATGGCCGCCGTATAGAGGATCTTCACTGGACGGTGAGTTTTTAGCCCACTGGAACGCATTAACAGGGTTTTAATGCGTTTCAATTGGTTTTTCATTTTTGCTTTACACCATTTTCACTCTACAGTGATTTCGCTGGAACAAATTAACGTCGTTAAGCGAGGCACCACTGTATATATATTTTTCTTACCGCAGAAAATCCATTCAGAAAAGATTGAATTGCTACAGAATGTGTTTCACTGGGTTGCATGAGAAGTTGTCTGTCTAGAAGCACCAACAGATGTTGTTTTTGAGGGGTGGTGTCACAATTCAGGAGGTTTCAGTTTACAGGTTTGGGGATCACGTGAACTTTTATATCAAATAGTATTGCTTCCAAATAGATCATCTATCTTTACCCCTTGAGTTTCCCTGCCCTATATAATCATCAGGCACTCTGATTGCTCCAGCCAGATCTGAGAATGGAGCAGGGAGCAATGACCTGGTCAAGATTCGTAGGTTGCCCGAGTCTGTTTCTGAGTGTTCTCTTCTTTTCAGACAAAAAGACTTTGGACATGATGAACAAGCCTCGCTGCTCCCTTCCTGACATCATTGGCACCTCTGAGCTGATGCGTCGCCGGCGCAGGAGACGTTACGCACTCAGTGACAGCATCTGGAAAAAGACAGATTTGACATGGAAGTAAGCCATGCTCAATTATCTTCACCTCCATCAATGAAAGGGAAAGGTTGGGTGGAGGGTGGAGAAAGGGAAACAACCCTTTTCTATTACTCTTATCCCACTGTAGTTTGTATTACAATAAAGCTTCACTCTATAGATGTAATCTTAGCCATTTCCTTCTTTCCCTTCTGTTTGTTTTACTGTAGTTTCTGTTTTTCCTCTTGCCATGATTTATTCCCTCCTTCTAATCACTTTCCTACAGTTGTACCTTTGTTCATTTTGCCATACGTCTATCCTCCAGACAGAAATTTCTCACAGTCCCGTCTGGATTAGTTGTTGTGGGTTTTTCGGCCTCTTTGGCCGTGTTCTGAGGCTTGTTCTTCCTTATGTTTCACCAGTCTCTGTGGCTGGCATCTTCAGAGGACAGCACCCGTCTGAATTCTTATCTTTGCCTAATCCCTTCTTCCTTTTTATGCCCTTGAATGCCAGTCACTGAAAAATACATGTGGAGGGAGACTACCATATTCATGCCATGGATGTGGGCTCCTCAGAGGCATCTAGTTGGCCATTGTAAGGAGGATACTAGTTTACGCAGGCATTCAGACGGATATAACTGAGCTTTTCTTGCGTTCTTCTTCCTTCTGCAGTGTACGTTCCTTTCCCAGAGCATCACAGCTATCTCAAGAACACATCCGGAATATTATTTACTATGCCTTGAGGGCTTGGAGCAATGCCTCAGCTTTGATCTTCAGGGAAGGATCCTCTGAACAAGCTGACATCTTGGTGGATTTCACACAGTCTTATCATCAAGATAGTTACCCCTTTGATGGTCCTGGAGGCACCCTGGCCCATGCTTTCTTTCCTGGCGAACATCCCATTTCTGGGGATACTCATTTTGATGATGAAGAGATGTGGATTTATGATCCAGAGAATAACTTTCAAGGTACTTCCAGAACCAGATAGCATCCCTAGAGCAGAACATCACACAGAAAAGACGCAGCTGAACATTTTTAATCCTCTCCTAGGTCGTGGCACGGATCTGTTTGCTGTAGCAGTGCATGAGTTTGGCCATGCCTTGGGATTGTCTCACTCATCAGCCAAGGAGTCCATCATGATTCCATATTACCAGGGCCCCGTTGGGTTGCCCCATCAGTACCAGCTCCCTCTAGATGATGTCATGGGAATTGAACAGCTTTATGGTAAGAGACGTAACTTTCCCTAGGAAAGTTCTCTTTCTTCTGTAATTTTCTTTCATTTCCTTTTGACAGTATTTCTTCTTCCATGGCCATGCCCTTTCTCTTCTTTTTGTAGTTTAATAATACACCTACCTCACAATTCTCCTCCCTCAGCTGACTTTTAGGAAGCTGTAGTGGCATAATACAATCATCCAGCAAACATCTAATATCATCTCAATAATATAAGGTAAAGGTAAATGTTCCCCTTGACAATTTTTGTCCAGTCGTGCTCGACTCTAGGGGGCGGTGCTCATCCCCGTTTCCAAGCCATAGAGCCAGCGTTTTTGTCCAAAGACAATCTTCCGTGGTCACATGGCCAGCATGACTTAGACACGGAATGCTGTTACCTTCCCACCGAGGTGGTACCTATTTATCTACTTGCATTTGCATGCTTTTGAACTGCTAGGTTGGTGGGAGCTGGGACAAGCGACGGGAGCTCACTCCGTTGCGTGGATTCGATCTTACGACTGCTGGTCTTCTGACTCTGCAGCACAGACTTCTGCGGTTTAGCCCGCAGCGCCACCACGTCCCTCTCAATAATATAGGCACATTTTAAAAGAGGAATAGAAGAAGCCATCTCAAGTTAAGTTACTATGAAGGCCAACCTGAAGAACAGACTTTTGATATGTCTCAGTGGAATTTCTGCTATTATTTCTTTGTTTGCTTGATTTAGAAATCTTCCCATCATAGAAAATGGAAAAGATATTGTTCTGGACTACAATTTGCAGGAATCCCACGACCAGCAGTGTGGTCACGGGTCATGCTGGCTAGTACTCTGGGAATTGTAGTTCAAAAAGATAATTTTTCCAAACTTTGTCATGATGTGAGGAAGAAAAATAGTAAACCCCGTTTATACTTTGCTGTAGAAAGAGTTTCTAATATACCCGACACAACACCATTGTAGCAATTTGATATCACTTAGCTATCTTGGCTTTATCCTAAGGAATTCTGGGAGTTGTAGTTCTACAAGATACTTGCAGTTCTCCAGATGGTAACCCACAGAAATACACTAGAACTTTCTGGAATCCTAAACACCATACTAAACTACAAGGAAGAGAGGTCATGGCAGGGTTCCTGACCCTTAATAGTTGCTTAATAGCAGAAAATTCAGCAGGTGCCAACTTCTATGCAAGCTATACCTGCTGACATTTCATCCTCCATATACCCTATTTCCCCGAAAATAAGACCTAACTTGAAAATAAGCCCTAGTATGATTTTCAGGATGTTTGTAATACAGTATAAGCCCTATCCCAAAAATAAGCCCCAGTTAAGTGAAACCTTGCCCTCCACCCTTGTGCAGCAACCAGAAGATGAGATGACTGTATTTGAATAAATGTAGATTGTTGTACATGAAAAAAATAAAACATCCCCTGAAAATAAGCCCTAGTGCGTTTTTTTGGAACAGAAATTAATATAAGACCTTGTCTTATTTTCGGGGAAACGCAGTAACTCTTAAAGGAGCAGAAACGTTGCGCTTTTTTCTTCTTGGCAGCCAAGCTGACTTTTTCACATTTCTGCTTCCTTTTTCACGCTCTTGGATACCCAGTGAGGTATAGTGAACAGAGTTATGAACCCAGGAGGCCCAGGTTCAAATCCCTGCTCAGTCATAGAAGCTCACTGGGGGTGTAAAACCAGTAAAACCACTCCTTCAATATCTCGCTTACCTTGAAAGCCTTGTTAGGGTCACTGTAAGTCGGTTCTGACTTGGCGGCCCATAGCAACAACAAATCCATGCTCATATTCCTCCTGTGTTAGAGAACACTCTGAGCTTTGGCAGGTATTCATTGTTTCATCATTTATCTTTTTTTATTTCCTCATATTTTATGGTTGCAGGGAAGCGCCGACTTGGGTCCCATCCAGATCAAAATGGCCCACAATTACCACCCCCCACAGCTCCTCCCATCCCTGACTTTCCACCGTACCAGCCCACATATGGGTAAGTACCCTTCAGTTTTGGATGCTAACCCTGCCAACAATCTCTTTGCTGCCCCTCCTTTTATTGAGCAGCTGCCGTATTTTTCGCTCCATAAGACACAGTTCCCCCCCCAAAAAAAATGTGGGGGGGAAGTGTGTACGTCTTATGGAGCAAATACTGGCTTCCCGCCGCCACCATCATGCCACACTTCCGGATGATGAGCTGGCTGGGGTGGAGTTTTATTTTAATTTTTAAATTTTTTTAATTAGGTGCATCTTATCGTCAGATGTGTCTTATAGAGCGAAAAAATACAGTACTTGTTGACTACACACAGTGTATCCATGGAAGTGTAGCCCTTCCCCTCCCCTTCCAGGGCAGGGAGCACTTCCGGATGATGAGCTGGCTGGGGCGGAGTTTTATTTTATTTTTTAAAATTATGTGCGTCTTATTGTCAGATGCATCCTATAGAGCGAAAAATACGGTAGGTCCTAAACCATTCTTGTTGACTACACACAGTGTAGCCATTCCTACATATTGCTAGCTGCTGGGCTGACATCCAGGCTATGTCAAGGCTGTTCAAGCAGAAGAAAGCAGCAGTGGATCGGTGAGAATCTGGGTTCAAGATCAGAGAGCCCTGGAAAATCATCCTGAAACAGGAAAATAATTTTACAGTTTTATATATTCTGGTCCACTCTATAGGTGATGATCATGAGCAGCATCAGCGGCGGTATTAGTAAAGACATAGGGAACAGTAGACTCATTATGATTTTAAAAATCCATCCCGAGAGCTGAATTTTACAAATTGATTTAAAAAGAAGCCCTTAAGCGGTGTGTTCCTAGTTCACAGAATCTAAATCCCGAAACTTGCAAATTTTTTTCTCTCTGTTCATGTCAGACCGCGCTTACTGTCACCTGATCGTTGTAAAGCCCATTTTGATGCAATTGCAAACATCCGTGGGGAAGTGTTCTTCTTTAAGGGTAGGTAAAGTTCAAAAGATTTTTCCCCTCCCGTAGGTTAGCTGATATGGAGTAAGGAAAGAAAGATATATGCTCTTGTACATTTTGCATGCCTGGAGGTGGAAAAACCTGGTCGTTTGGATTACAGTAGACATGGTCTAGAGGGGCAGGGTAAAAATCAAATAAATAAATAAATAAATACAAATGCCATTGGCTATGCAAGCTCCTGGATTCTGGGAGGTGATTACACTTGCATTCCCTCGCAGCCAATTAAATGTTGGTTGTTGTTTTTTAACGTTACAGTTTACAAGTTATCATTAAAATGTTACATTTCTGAACTTGATTATAAACTTGTAAATTACATCAGAGGCCTTCTACTTGGGCTGAATGGCGACTAATAAATGTGTAAAATGAACAACTAAAGTACACAGGAATTCTAGATTTCATCTCAATTTCTCGTTCTTCGTTTATGACAAGTGCTACTTCACCTTGACCATGATTTTGTCATTATTGATTTCCCTCTTTGGGAATTCTTATATTTTAGCATAGTTTAGCTGCACAGACCAACTTCCCTGGGCTGTTGTCACACAGCGATGGGTGTAGCCCAGTGGTTTCCAACAGATATTCTTGGATTATGACTTCCAGAAATCCTAGCTAGCACAGCTAGTAGTGAAGGCTTCTGGGAATTTTAGTCTGAAAAACAACAACACACAACTGGGGACCCGAGATTGGGAGTCACTGGTGTAGCCCATCACTGAGGGTCTAAGTTCATGTGAGGAGAAAAAGATGTGAATCTCTTATCTTTGTCTTTCCTTCAAAGCTGCCATAGCTGTTTACCTCTCACCCTTTCCCTTGATGATTCCCTGATTGAAAAATATCTCTCTCATAAACCTTTTATGACTGTGTTGCAGATGTGTTGAAAAAAAATTTTCTTCCATTTTGAGGGTGGTCGTAAATTAGGTCAGAGATATGGTGGTGAAGGGTAATTGTGCCCTTTGGGAATGGGGACATTTTATCCTTTCAGAGTGCCGCTTGGTCAATCAGTCTAGGAGCCCTTCCGCATCAGAAGATGTTGACATGTCATATATACCAGTAAATTCCCTTATTGCAATCAAAAGATCAGACAAAAACTAGTAACAGAACTATGTAACAATGAGAATTATTAGATACAAATTAAATACACATTGTGTATGTTTAACTCTTAAAAACAGAAATTTCAGAGAATAATCATTATAAAAAACATTTTTTAAATCATACCATTTCTCACTGGCCTATGTAGTGCTCATCATCTCTTCCAGGGATGCTTTGCAGGATTGGATGAATAAAAATGTGCAGGAAACCACTATAAAAGGAATAATATAACAGTAGATATCCTTCAGTTTCCCTCAGATCATCTCTTTTTCCCTCATTCCCAACCTTAAAATGTGTATTTGGGTTTTATTTCTTTTTATCTCTTGTTGACAAATCCAATCACTGATCTCCTCTATCGTGTGTAATTTGTCCCTTTGAACCACAACATAGGTATTGTGGCAAGTTTTACACATATATGAGAAGTCTCACAAACCTGAGGTAGCTGGATTGGAGGAATCTATTTCTCAGCAACCAGCAATAAAACATTGCAATAGAGTTTCACGTGCTTTATCTGTGCGACTTTGTACATGCTTTGCTATTGTTGCCCAGCTGTACAACAGAGTGATATTTCGAAGAGCATTTTCCAGTTATTGTCAGCCTGAGGCCCTTTGGGTCGAAATGTGTGTATCTAGGGATCTATTGAGATGTGTAGTGGGAAGTTCGGCTTCCAAGCTGAGGAAGACTGCTTTATAACACTTTCACAGAGAAGCATTTCTGGAGGATGCAACCCGCCCGGAATCTGGTTTCACTGGAGCCAGCCCAGATTCTCCGGTTCTGGAATGGCCTTCCCCAGGATTTCAAGGCCATAGATGCTGTGTACGAACGTGCCAATGATAGCCAGATTGTGTTCTTCATTGGTGAGTATGAACGTGCAGCGGTGGTGAAGAGAGATAGAGCATTTGGGCTATTTGGAAGAGCAGTAAAGTTTGATATTGAAGAAGAGCAAGAGACGGCATCCAGCTACCAAAGCTCAGGCACTGTAGACCTCCAGAAAGGAAGTCGTTCCACAGAGCTGTTGCTTAACCAATTCTTTAACGGACTGTGGAATTTCATTTTTTTTAAAGAACTCATTGCATTACTTATTACTTCTTGAAAAGCAGGTTGTCGCGATCATCATATCCACTCCTAACAAATAAGTAATTGATGCATTGGTGCAACTATGCCTGTGGAAGACTGATGATATCATCAGTGGGGGATAATTATTTTTTAAATAATTAAAGACTTCTTCCTTGTGTCCTGTGGTTCCCATAGCTCCTGTGTAATACCTTCCATAGTGTGGAAGCTGTAGCAACCATGGAATGAGGAGAAGATGACTTAAAATACCCAGAATTACTGCCATTGTTAATGTCATCCCTGTGGCAGCTTTTTCAGTAAAGACTACTTCTTCCCATCCCATGATTCCCACACAATGAAGGGGTTTATACAAGAGCCATGGGAACTGCAAGACAGGAGTAGGAAATTTTTGATTTCTGAAAACTACCCCTGCAAATAATGTAATCAGCTTTCTACCAGCATTGTTACACCAACAGGATTTGAGCCATTGTGTTACTATATTCCAGATGCAGAAAATATTTATTATTTTTATTTATTGATTGATTGATTTGATTTGATTTGATTTGATTTGATTTGATTTGATTTATACCCCACCCATCTGGTCTAAAAGACCACTCTTTTTCTCTCTTAAATATTTTCTCTTTTAAAAGAGAATTCTGTAAGAAGGCAACATTAAAAATACTTCCCTTGTCACTTGGGATTGCTGTGAGAATGGCATAAAACCTGAAAAAGTCTATCAACATGTACATTAAAATAGTTTTTGAAGTAACAAGAAACTATTCCTTTTTAACATCTAGCATGTAATTTTGTGGCTACTTGTTGCATTATTTTTACTATGGCTTTACCTGTTCCCCCTAAAGTAAGTAGTTATGGTTGCTTGTAATTAGTTACGGTACTTCCGTGCTCTTTTATTCACAAGGTTCTACAAAGTTTCTCAGTAAGGTTCTTAATAAAGGCTTGTATCAAGACTTATTAGAATTCAGAAGAGTTGTGGGGAAGCTCTGAGTTTTAATAGATAGCTCAGAATGTAATTCAATACAGTTAAAAATGCAATACAAGTCAGACTATTAAAGAGGAATATTTATTTTATTTATTTATTTATTGCATTTATATGCCGCCCATCTAGACATAGTCTACTCTGGGGAGGGGACATTGAAAATTATATTCAATGGAAGTCATTCATACAAATGTGCTAGTGTCCCTACACTTTCTTCTTGTTCAAGCATAATTTTCTAACTTCTCCATGCAGGATCTTACTACTGGGTTTTCACTGATACCCTGGTCAATCCAGGCTACCCTCGTCCCTCATCAGATCTTGGCCTCCCTCCTGGTACTGTGATAGGTGCTGCCTTTGTGTGGCCTCACAATGGCAAGACATATCTCTTAGAGAAGGACCAATACTGGCGTTATGATGATCAGTTGGGTCATGTGGAACCAGGGTACCCCAAGCCTGTCGCATTATGGAAAGGAGTACCTCCAGATCTGGATGATGTCACACGTTGGAATGATGGTATGTTTGAATTGAAGCATATTGCAGGGACCTTTTAAGAAGATGGTTCTTAAATTGTGTTTCTTTCTTTCCCCTTCCAGTGATAACACTGGGTGGGGGAAGGCAGCATGTAATTTCACAGGTTAGTGATGCTGAATTTGGTACAAACCTTCAATCGTAGATTTCACTCTCTTAAAGACAACTCTCCAGCCTTTGTGCTTGCGAAGAACAGTCTGAAAATATTATTATTCAAATTATTTTGGGGGGGGTAATCAGGGGGAAAATAAGGCTACTTTTTAAAAACTAGCCCATGCAACAGATTGAAAAAAAATCAGGCAAAATTATTTTGCTTTTTAAAACCAGTCTCTGTCATAGCAACAGATTGAAAGGAGCGCGAACTTTTTTCCTGCCATTTACAAAACATACAGTACATGCCTGACCAGTAGTAGGTAGCTGTGATTTGCCAAAAAATAACCTAGGAAAATTAGCTGTCTCCAGCTTATTCTTCAAGCAAGATATTGTGCAGTAACAGAAACGACAGGCCTGTAGCCAGTAGTATTGTGGTGAGGGTGGGCTGGGGGTACACTTTTTTGCATATAGGAAGATAGGAGCAAAATTCAGTGTAGAACAGCAAGACCCTGAGGGACTAAACTCCTTCGATGGGCTAAGGCACCCTGGAAGCAGTTCTGAAAGGGGAAGCAAAATCTACCTTTCAGGCACCAATCCCCAAGCAGAAACATGATCCATGAAGGAAATTTTGGAATATCTGTTGTATTATACAGAGATATTCAAAGACTGCTTGAATTGACAAACATTCCTGCAGCTAGTAGTTCCCCTAGTGAACCGTTTTGCCCATGACACGGAAATGGAGGAATGGAATTGCAACTCTCCAATCCTGCTTTGGGTGTGTGGATCCTCAGCAGGCCATAGATGCTGTTTATTGCTTTCCTCTCAAGGTGGGCAACACCTGTGCCCAGTTTTCACTTTTTCTTTGTCTCTGCAGGCAACACTTATTTCTTCAAGGATACCCAGTACTGGCGTTTCACAGCTGGCAATGTGGAATCAGATGCCAGCTACCCGCTCTCCACAGCCCAGGACTGGATGTATTGTCAGGGCCCTCATACCTCCTCCCCTTCTGCCCCGAGGCGTGGAGAAGGTGGGATGTGTCTCTGTGGGGGGACATCCCTGAAGGTAGCTCCTCTCTTGGCTTGGTTCCTAGCTTTTATTTGGGCTCTGTGCTGACCCTTGGACATCTACGAAATAATGCACTTTATATGGCTGAAGGGAGGGGCCAGGGAGCCAAGAAGGGAAGGTAGCCGCTGCTCCAGAGCGTCTGCTTTCCTTTCATTTTGGCTCCTCTCACATGGTGCGCTCGTGAAAACTCCCCTTCCAACTTCCTTCTGAACCTTCTCTCCTTTGGTTCCATATTTAGTTTTCTTTTTTTAAAAAAGGCATGGAGCTCTGAGACTGCCTACATGCCATACCCACTGACCCGGAACGCCGCCTTCTCTGATCCCAGGTGTGTGGCCATATGTCTTGATTTCTCAGGGATAAAGGATGTGCACTCTGAATATGCTTAGGGGTGCTCTCCCTTTTTTAATACTTTACACATTGCAGCTTGGAATCGGTTCAAACTTTGCCCTAGTCATCCTGATTTCTTCTCCTTTTTCATTTGCAGACATGGCCGGGGTTTAAACCCACACCTGGCTCCAGAGCATTATCATTATTTAAGAGAGGCAGTAAATATAGATTTCTCAGTGAAGCGCCCCATATGTATGTGCAGGCCATTTCAGTTTAGTCCATGACAACTGACAAGTAGGGGAGATTCTGCCCTGTAAATACCAGGGATGTTGGCAAGTCTTTGGGTCCGAGTTCAAGTCCAACCCTCAAGTCCCAACTCCAAGTCTATTAAAAACAAGCTTTTTTCCGCAGAGAAAAAGGGAGAGGTGGGTGGCTTCCGAGTTGCGTCCGAGTCATTGTGGGGGGGGAAGAGTCAGAGTCAAATCACCTGTGCAACTTAAGTCCAACTTGATAGCGAGTCCAGCAACTCAAGTCCCCATCCCTGGCAAATACCCTCTTGAAAGTTCACCCTGCTTCTGAGTGGCACTTGTTCCAACCTGTTCATCTGCAGCTGAAACCAGAACTACATCCACCTGGAGAGGAGCGTAGTGCCAGGTGTGTTAACATATGGAGCAAACATGATACTAGAGTGGTAGAGGATGCAGTTAGAAAATTTGGAATAAGGGTGATGGCTTAACTTGGGGAATTAATAAACGGGTGGGCTGGGGAAAAGACACAATAAGATGTCCATTACTGTTTGTTTTTACAATAAAATCAAAATGAAAATAAACATGACCTGACTTGTATAGTTTTTTTCCCTTGGATTGTGAGAAGAAAATAGAGGAAAGGTGCTAAAATCAGATTCAAATTTGTCTGACACCACTGGACATGCCTTGCCTTTAACTCAGCATTATGCGTGCATAGTTCTGTCCATGTGAAAAGGACTGGATTTGTTTCCATTTTGTCGATGCTTTTATCAGGCATAACCCCTCCACTTCTGACCTCATAGGAGTTTTATTTGGCCCTGTAATATACAGCACAGTTTATGCCACTAAACCTTTTTGCTTTGGTTTTGCTGGAAGCTGCTGTTTGGTTTAGAGTCCTTTTGTCTCTCACCTAGAACAAGGGGATAGGGAAGCTATAATTTTCAGCTGAACTCCTTCTGGGAAGGAGCTCAAGAGCTGTGAAGAACTTCTGAAAAAGGCATTAGTTTTAAATTTTAATCTTGCTCTATTGCAGAATGCAGGTGAGGCAGATCATGCAGGCCTTGGAAGAGTCATCTTTTGGGTACAATATTCAGAATCCAGCAGGTAACATGATCAGTGAGTCCACATGGCCACTAACCAGGGGATTCTGCAAGATGTCATCCAAAAGAGTAGTTTTTTCCAAGATCTGAATCCTCCCATCTTTAACCTCATGTGAAAGATGGACAACCCAAGATATGGGCATTGTTTTTATGCCCCAATGAGTATGCTCATCTTTGAAGTGGTGAAAAACTCTGCTTTTTCTGCAATACCAAGATCTGAATCCTCCCATCTATAACCTCATGTGAAAGATGGACAACCGAAAATATGGGCATTGTTTTTATGCCTCAATGAGTATGCTCATCTTTGAGGTGGTGAAAAACTCTGCTTTTTCTGCAATAAACCAAAACACTTAATTCTGGAGGCCAGCAAACTGTAGGTCCTTCAGGAATCCAGGTCTCCTTGACCTAAGGTTTAAAACACTTATTTCTGGAGGCCAGCAAACTGTAGGGCCCAGAAGTCCTACAGGAATCCAGGTCTCCTTGACCTAAGGTTCAGCCCTTTAACCACTGCATCATGTTGCCCCTCCTAAAGACCAGACATCCTTAAAACACTCATTTCTTAACACATGTAATCGTTCAGCAGGAAGGAAGGGACTGTGAGTTTCCCTGCAATTCTGTGAGCATTGCAGCCTGTGATACAACCAGTCAGAAAGGGGGACTACAAATTACAGGAAGATGTCAACAGAGGACTGAATCACATCCCTTTGTATTCATAGAGAAATGTTGCTGAGTTCATGCTATGGCTCAACTTCTTCCATGTCAAAAGTACTGTATGCAACCAGAGAACAGGTTGACATAGAGAGATTACAGTATATGCGGACACTATTTTCTCTTCTCTCTCCGCTGCTCTGGTCTCGCCCTTTCCATCAAAGTGGCTATCCTTGCCAATCAGCAATGCCTGCCCATCTTTCCCCATGGATCTTTCTTATCAACTAAATGGCCATTAGGGGCCTTCAACTTTGAAGCAAGTGTTTTGCTTGCTGTATGGCCAATAGAGAATGGTGAGGAGTTTTTCATTAATAAAGAAATTCTTCTGTTGTGTATTCCTGGCATCAGGGCAGGGCAGGTTTTGGGGAACTTGGTCTTAGAGGATCCTGCCCCATCCCAGGCCTACACATGGGAGGAATGGAAACCAAAAGAAGGCCTCGAATGGCTGGCATAGGCTGAACTAATGCAGGGAGATAACCAAGATGGCTGCCTCCGCTGGTGAGCCCCTCTGGCCTTAGCGATGTCCTGATGCCATGCTGTTCTATGGGCCACCAACAACAAGGTGGTATCACTTCAGGTGCATTCACCTAACAGGAGAAGGATCCTGCATTCAGTGCCCATCTCACAGCTTTAGCAACACAAAATTGTGCTGTGGGCCAAGAAAAAAAAGGGATTCTTCTCTGGATGCTATACATACTGCACACGTGCACACACACACACACACACACACCAGTCCATTCCAGCAAAACAGGCACCAAGAATTGGCCAAACAAAAGGAAAAGCCGATACCTTCAGAAACAAGGACACAATTCATTATCTTACTTGCTTCTTCGTATTTCTGAGAAGGGAACCAAAGGAGACCACATGGAGACTGCCACGTTTGTCCTTGGTATGAGCAAGCCATTCACATCTGAAGCCAGAAAGTGCTAATGGGCATCAAAAAGGGTATGTGAGAGAGAACGTGATGGTGTGAGTGATGAATCTTTCTCTGTAACGGTGGTCCGTTATTCCACACGCCTTCCTCCCACTCATCACACGGGAAATAGGCTGGGCTACATGAAAAATAGGCTGAGCATTAGACCAGGAACATGCTTTAAGTGTAGCAGAATCAATAAACTCCAATATCAAAATCGGACTCAGCTGCTGCCTTACTATATGAACAGGGTAGGACGTGAGCAGAGCTAGTACTTCACAAGTCTTCAGGCTGCAAATGGAGCATACTCCATCAAACCTTGTTCTCTAATATATGACCTCCACACAGAAAAGAATTCTTCTCCATGTCATTTTGTCTTCTATCTGCCAAGTTTTGTGTGTTACACAACACTATGATTACATAAGAACATAAGAAGCCTGGAGATTATACACCGCCATCATGGCTTGTAACCTCCGATGGACTTTTCCTCCAGAAATCTGTCCAGTTCCCTTTGAAATGCATCTAGGGCAGATGTCATCACCACATCCTGTGGCAAGGAGTTCCACGGACTAACAACATGCTGGGTAAAGAAAAATTTTCTTTTGTCTGTTCTCACCATCCCAACACTCAATTGGAGTAAGATGTCCCCTAGTTCTGGTATTGTGTGAGAGGGAAAAGAGCTTCCCTTTATCCACTCGTTTGTGTTATTATTTGTTCCTGCTTGTTCCTGTATTGTGAGCTGTCTTGATGCCCAAATTTGGGAGAGAGGCAGAATATTAATTAAAATCAATCAATCTACAGTATATGAACGCCTGGTTGAAGTTTGTGCAATTCTTCCATGGATAAAGAGAGTTTTCTAGTAGTCAGGAGAAAGAGAAAACTAGCACATTGGGCATCTGAATTGAGCTAAAATATTTCCCTGCCATTTGACCTTGTTATCCATGTGGATGCACTCCCCTACATCCATTCAAAATGGTACAGTCCCATTATGACTACGTATACACTTCTTCCCAATGCTGTATGAACATACTCTAATTTTTTTGGACAAAATTGCTATCAAGCACCAATCCCACTCTTACTTTTCATTTAAAAAAAATCTTTTTAATTAAATTATTAAACTCTGTCCTGGCTCCCAGCCTCATTCTCTCCACTCCCCCACCCTCTTGTTTTCTCAGGGAATCCAGAGGTCCTGCCTCCCCATTCCTGTTTCAGCAAATGCAGGGATCCTGGCTTTCAGCTCTCTGCCAAAACCATAATTCCTTTTCCTGCTTAGCCGCTGCTTGATGCTTGAGGAGCTTGTTCAATGGGGTCAGCTGGTCCTGCTGCGGTCTCATCCGTTTGGGGCAAACGCTTACGTTTAAAGAATCCGAGCTGGGAAGAAAGGAGAGAGGAAGAGGGGAGAAAAACAGGGCTAAGACCAAGAAAGGAACGGATGCGTCACTCTCGGTTATGACGGGAACAGACATGATGGGATATCACAATTAAAACAAACAAACAGGTGGCGTGAATGTCAAAGTGCAAGAATTCAGCAACATTGTGTGTGTCTATAAATGCACATGAATGCATACACAAGCTCAGTACTTCTCACAACACCTGATTTAGTAGGATCACCAGACATACCAAAGTTAAGCTACACTTAAATTGCTGGTACTGTGTTTCCTTCTGAATGCTTAGGTTTGGATGTGCCAAACACTATGAGCTTCAGCAAAGGATGCTCAGCCAGCTGAATTACAGCCTTTCATATTTTAAATAGTAAAACTTAAAAATTTTAAATTATAAAATGACTTTGTAAAGGAGTGTTGCCCTTCGTGTTACTAAAATAACATAGGAACGCCCTGAAAGAAGAAAAAAAGGACACAGAGTCCAGAATCTTGTTGGCGATTCATGGGTGTAACTGTGAAAGTCAAAAGAGCAAACATTGATGACACACTGGTTGTGTTCCAGAGACTGTGATGAGAAATGCAACTAGCCCCTTGTTAATTACTAGTGATTTGTGACCAAGACTTGATTGCTTTCACTTATATGCATCTGGAAGTCACTTAATAGACTTCAAAGCGGGAAGATGCAAGAACAATGAAGTAAAAGGGGGCTATTGGGATACAAGACACATTTTCTGTGAATGTGGAGAAAATCAGTTAATAATAATAATAATCTTTGAACTGCAGAGTTGGAAGGAACCCGATGGACCATCGAGTCCAGCCCTTGTCATGGTGGCACAGTGGGGAATCGAACTCCCAACCTCTGGCTCTGCAGCCAGAAACCTAAGCCATTGAGCTAATGCAGCATTTGTGTGCATACAATGTATGCCCCACCATGTGCACTAAAGATCTAGTAAACTGAGATAACACTACTGAAGTAGCCCACTTCTGGTCAAAAAAAATCTAATCATTTTAACATTTTAAGTTTGTTTGAACTTTATACTCCATATACGTAGATCCAGATTTTTTTTTATTGTGCAGCTTTTTGATATGAACAAAGAAAGAAGTGCACAGAAACTGCCAATAAGATGCTGGCCACCCAGACCCTCCTTGATTCTTTCCTTAAAACAGTGGTGCCTCGCTAGACAGTTACCCCGCATAATAGTTTTTTCACTAGACATTGGCTTTTTGCGATCGCTATAGTGATTTGCAAAACAGTGATTCCTAGGGGGGAATTTCAATGGACAATATTTGGTCCCTGCTTCGCAAACCGAGTTTCGCTAGACGACTATTTTGACAGCTCCCTCCGTGCTCGCAAACAGGAGTTTTCGGGACCTAAGCTTCGCAAGACAGTGATTTAAACAACTGATTGGCAGTTCGCAAAGCAGCTTTCCTATGGCCGATCTTCGCTAGACAACGACGATTCTTCCCCATTGGAACGCATTAAACAGGTTTCAATGCATTCCAATGGGCAAATGCTTTTCGCTAGACAATGATTTCACTAAACAGCGATTTCAATGGAACAGATTATCATTGTCTAGCGAGGCACCACTGTATTCTGACATTCATCTTTTACATGCTACAGTAAAACCTAAAACATTGTTATCACTTGATTGAGCCACACAACTGCCAAATACTCTGGAACTTCCACACACAATCTCAGATGGATGGAGGGGAGGCAGGAACATGTGCCCTTCTGAATGTGGTGTCCAACATCTGCCCTAGCCAGGAGAGCCAATGGTAAGGGATGATGGGCAAGAGTCTCCAATAACATATGGAGGACAAAATGTACCATGTTGTTGGATTTAAGGATGAGTTGGCAACCTTCAGAGGTGAGGGAGCTGCCCATGCCAGTCCCTGGACTGTGGAGGGCCACGCCTACTCCTTGCCATCCATACCCCTCAAAAACAATTTCTTGAGAAGAAAGTGGGGTTTTTTTTAACAGAAAAAGCCCTCTCACACCCTGTACCGGTGAAATATATTTATTTATTTAACAATATTTGCTGGGGTGCTGGAAAAATTGGCTCCCATAGCCCCGAGGAAGCACAAAAGGACTTTCTGAGCAAAATATACATTTAAAATGAAGGGGTGCTGGAGAAATGTAATGTCGCCCACCTTTGTACTAATCAGTTCTTACTATGATCACAGTAACTTCTCCATTAATTTCTCCTGCTATGTTTATATGCTCATTTTTATGGGGGGGAATGCAATCATGGACTGTTTGTGCATGAACCTTTTGAATCTTTTTTAAAAAATCTAACAAAGACAACAGGTTGCATACCTTGTACAAAATAGCCACTAAAATGGCCAAGAGCAGGATGCCACCGATGGTGCTGCCCACAATGATGGGAACGGGATTGAATGGCGAAATCAGCTCAACTACAGTGTTGATCTGCAAAGGAGACAAGCAGAGTTCATTTTTGCTCATAAAAGCCACCCTGTAACCATTCGGGTCAAATGTACAGTACTCTGGATAGTTATTATTAGTATTATTAGTATATGCTATAAACAGAGGTAGGGAGAACAGAGGACTAATGAGGCTGGAATCTCTGACTCCAAGGGGGGGGAACTTTAGATAGAGGGGTAATTTAGGTTTTTTGTTTTTTTTCTTTGCCATATGATTTTCTTTTTCTTCTTTTTTTTCATTTCTTTTCGTCTCTTCGTTTTGGTTTTTCTTTTTCTTTTTTTGGTATTTTGTGGCTTTTTATATGTTAAAAAACTTAATAAAACTTATTTAAAAAAAAAAAGAAAAGAAAAGATAGTTACTCTGCCACTATATTCTACTCACAGGTTACTCAGCATGGCAGGTAAGTACTCAGCACAGCAGGAGAAGAAGAGGTGCATTACTTCACTGTTTAATGTCTGGGTAAAGCTCAAATGCAAAGGGTATTTTTCTCAGATTTCAGTAGCCTGACTGAGGTGAGAAAAGAAGACTCTGCCCATTTTCAAAAGGACCTTAAAACCACTGGCCTTCTAGATGCTGTGGGACTCCAACGCTGATCAGTCCCAACTGTCAGGGTTCATGGGAAATGTAGTTCAACACCATCTAGAAGTGTTTCACATATACCAAAAGACTGAAAGCAGACCCTGGGGGCCACAAAACAACTGAATACTGTGCTGAGCAACCTATTTTTGGTGTATACTTGACAACAGTGCAAGAACTTCGTGTTATACCTGGGTGAAGTGAAATTCCTCTGGCTGACTCTGGAAAAACCTGGTTTCATCTACAACCACAGATGCCTCACTGCGAAGGTTGAGACTTTGGGACTCTAGCTATAGAGAGAACAGACTAATTACATGGAGAAATTTACTTTGATCCTCAGCTTTTTCTCTCCACTTCCTGACCAAAAACAAACAAAATTAATACAAAGAACTTCTCTCTCTCTCTCTCTCTCTCTCTCTCACACACACACACACACGCACGCACGCACGCACGCACGCACGCACGCAC